CACCCCCCACCCTCATCCCACAAAAACCAAACACAGTGACACATTACTCAATCAATATTTCTCAAGTGCAGTGCTTGCTAAAATTATGACTGAATACTAGAAAAGGTGTTTAGGAAAATAATGCGCACATTCAGCTATTGTTTCTTATGTTGCTCTCTCCTCTTAATTTCAACAGGGCCGTCTTATTCACCAATAAGGAACAACGGTGTTTTACGTTGGCCAAGAACACCAAAACATCAACACTATTCAGAAGACCAAATGTGGTTCTTTATGAAAAAAGAAGTATGTTTGTGTCTATGTCTTTTTAACATTACTTCACTGGGATATGCTTTCCAGGGAGTCTCACATAACCCTCTTGTGAATGAGGGCTAAGCCTTCACTGGGTCAGACGAAGTGGGTGGGTCAGCCCCTACCTAACCCCTAGCTTTTGCCACATTTTTTTATAGCAGTGATACCAATTTTTTTTCCCCAGTTTAGTGCTCCAGCATCTTCTCTGCTCCTGAAATCCTGGGGTCCACAAGGCAGAAAAGAACACTGTTGCTCAGGAAATGCAGAAGCTGCTAGGATAATGGAGGTGCTTAAGGGCCCCTTCCTCTCCTTTTAAACCAGCCTGCAACCTAGGACTGCACCTTCTCTGTCTCTGCTGAGGGTGCTAGGAAGGTCTGCTTGTGCTGGCAATGGTTTCTGAGACAGACCTTTGCCTACTGGGACACTGGTGGAAACTACCAAATAATTTAATTTGTATCACTAAAGAAAATTCAGTTTGCTTGGGTGAGACAAACCAACTTTCTTTTAGTTGAACACACTGTACAAAGTACTAGAGTGCTAACTATGCTTCAGATCAAAATGATCTATTTTTATAGTATATGTATGTTGTTATTATATAATGTTTGTATGCATTTGGTGAAACTAATCTATATATTTATGATATAATTTATTGTTGTGGTGAGTTTTTGTATTTTCTTCTTGTACATGTTCAGTTTTGACATAGATGAGGATTATGTGACTTAAATGTATGTGATCTCCTAGTCTTTCTGAATAGAAGTCTGTCTTTAAGAAATGGCAAATACCCTTTTTGGGTTTTAGTTTTTGGGTTTAGTCTTTTGGGTTTTAACACTACTTTTCAATTACATAATCAAGCACTGAGCTCTTGATCTATACAGGGAAGATGGAATATGTTTTATTTTTGATGTAGCCTAAGTTTCATTGTGTTGTTCTGTGACTTTAGTAATATACAATGGAGAAAAGATCTCCTTTCTGATGATTCAGACAAGTAAGATAATGTGGTAAACTTTGAATAGAATTACTACTGTTCTGAGTTAAATGATGCAGTGAACATTGCTTTTCACTGTTCACTGATTTGTGTCTTTTAAAAAACATTGTCTTTGAGAATATTCAGAAATTGGAAACTATAGTTATCTACCAAGAAGTTGGTCGTCTTCAACAAAGAAAGGTACATGAAGGAAAATCATAGAATCATACAATCTTTTACATTGGAAAAGACCTTTAATCTGATCAAGTCCCACCATTAACCTAAAACTGCCAAGACCACCATTAAAACATGTCCCTATGCATCTCATCTACACATCCTTTAAATACTTCCAGGGATAGTGTCTCAACCACTTCCCTGGGCAGCCTGTTCCAATGCCTGACAACCCTTTCAGGGAAGAATTTTTTCCTAATATCCAATCTAAACCTTCTCTGGCACAAACTGAGGCTGTTCCCTCATCCTATCACTTGTCACTTGGGAGAAGAGACCAACACACACCTCTCTGCAACCTCCTTTCAGGTAGTTGTGGAGAGTGATAAGGTCTCCCCTGAGCCTCCTCCAGGGTAAACAACCCCAGTTCCCTCAGATGCTCCTCACAGGACCTGCTCTCCAGACCCTTCCCCAGCTCCATTGCCCTTCTCTGGACATGCTCCAGCACCTCAGTGAACCAGGTTCTCAGCTGCTGCAAATGATGCAGTGGTTTCAATATGCCAGTTTCTAACAAAAAGCCAAGAAGCGCAATGACTAGGCTGTAAATACCAATGGCCTTCAGAAAATTTAATTCTTAGTCCTCCATTGACCTGCAAAGAGTTGTAGGATAAAATAATGCCGTATGTATAGCACCTGCAAGAAGATTTTATGTATGGATTGCAGCTGAGTATCCAAATGAGATTTTTTTCAGACCCTGTGGATATAAGGAAAATAATTTTCACAGGGTGGGTAAGCACTGGACCAGGTTGCCCAGAGAGCCTGCAGAGCCTTCACCCTTGCAGATATTGACTGGACCAAGATCTGAGCAGCCCCATCCAGCTCAGAAGCTGGCTGTGATTTTTATGGGAGTTTGGACCAAGCACCACTGTGGGTCCTTTTTAGCATGATATTTTCAGAAGCCTACAGCCAGCTCTCTTTTTTTGTATATCTAACTGATAAGTAATTTAATGTTTTGAACATAAGATTTTTTTTTATATACAGAAGCTGGTCAGAACTTCCCTGAATTAAGTAATTAAGTTACACTAAGAAATCTGCATTTCCTTTGTAGAAGGAAACTGGATGGATCAATTGGCAAGTAACAAACACTAAAGACTGAATGAATAACCTACATGTAAATAATCTGCACTGATTTTACTTTAGTTCTGTGATCAGGAGCTAGACTGTGATTCTGGTTTATTTTTTACATATGCCTTGGATTTGCTGAAGTTAGAACCTGGATGAGAGTCCTGCACTATTCAGTGAGAATTTGTTATGGCATCCTTTTAAGCCTTTTGACGTCACAGGCATTAATTTTAGTTTCTTGAAAAACAGAACCCCACCAGCAAAGGTTTGAAAAATTGTAGTTTTACATGACCAAAATGTAAAAAATTATGTGTCTACCTACAGAGAACAAAAGAGGGGCCTAGGTATCTTGAACATGAAACACGCATCCTATTGTGTGTGTGTCAGATGGTTTCTCTGTTGCTCATCTCTTCAGTTGCAGAGGGTCTCAAATAATTATGTGTCCAGTCTAATGATATCAACAATTTAATCTATTATTACAGAAGAAGGGAAAACATATCTTTTACCTAGGCAGATCTGATCCCATCAGCAGTAGCTGCTGCTGTCCTGATCCTTAAAGGAAATTTCTTTCACATGCCCACTTGCTTTTGCAATACTATTGCTGAAAACAACATTATTTGTTTTCAGTTGAAGAAACTACTTGATGAGACCTAATTGCTCTTTGTCAATGCGTTCAAAGAAAGGGATGACAACTGTTATAAAATTCACAGTTTTAAAAATTATTTTTTCTATGGTATGTGTTATAAAAGAGAAAATTAACCTTCTCTGGCATACAGAACAAGAAGTAAGAAGAATTAAACTTAGAATTTGGGAATTGTTATCCACTTATCTGTTTGTAAATAGTTAATCCAAAGGACAGGGGTTGAGTTTGGGATCCAAGGTAGGTATTTGTCATCAGACAACAAAAAAAAAATACCCTAAAGGTTATATAAACATTCAAAAGCTTATGCAAACAAAAAGAGTTAGCACTTGATTGATTCAATGTTCAGTTATAGACGTATTTAATGGTAATTTATTGCAAAATTGTTTGAGGGATCCCAATGGCTTCCAGCTGAGTTTCTATAGTAAAGTTGCCCATCTATATACTTTGAAATAAGGACATGCCCAAAGGTTCATGTATAAATCCAGATCTAAACGACCTATCAGCTCATAGAAGAGCCGAACCTTATTTCAGATTCAAATATTAGTTCTTTTCAGTTTTGATGAGACAGATCTGTGTAAAATGACATTATTTCTCCAGATTTATATTAATCTTCTGCTTGGTGTAACTGGTATAATCAGTATTGGTATAACTGATACTGAGAAAAGCTGATGCAAAACTCAGTCTCAAAATATCTGATTTGGACACTACTGAAAGACATTGAGACAAGCCAGGTCACAACCTACAAGACAGATTGCATCATGGCAGCTAGAAAGGAGGAACTGTCTGATGAAATATGCCCTGTGCACAGAGAAGAGTTAAATGAGTCTCCTGCTTATTTTTCCAAGCCAGACGACATGTGGCCTGACAGTGACTGTACGTAAACTGCATACACAGAATCTTTGAGGGAATGTACCAAGACCTGAGTTCCTTCAGCCATGCCTTGGCAGAGCCACCCCATGCAAGCCTGCAGTCCCCTAACAGTTACCAGTTCTTTGCTGGGAGAGGTGATTGTTCAATTCTCCCAGGAAAATCTTAAAGGATGCAATGGCGTTATGGTTGCTCCCTCCTCCTGGGGGAAAAACAAACAAAAAACCAAACACAAACAAAATAAAACATTAAGCTTTCCGTTCTCACTTAATTTAATAATGAATAATTTTAAACAATTCGTTGTTTTCAAGGCTACTGATAGAAACCTCAGGCTTATTCCACAATAAAATTCCCCTTGACTTTATACAAAGACAGGATTTCATTGTTAATTCTTTCACTCCTTCTTTTTCTTTTTTTTCATGAAGTTGTTATGAGGTTCCAAAATCCAAGACTACAAAAACATATTGAATATACACCTTCAAACAACTATCCATTTTATCTTGCACAGCAGAATTCTTGTTTTAGCATATCATGAATTAATTCAATCTCATTCATGACATGGTGAACTTTAATGAAAGTCAATGTCATTTACATTTATATGAACTTTTTAAAAAACACTTATTTAAACTGCTAAAATACTATGTGCGTGCATCTGTGATTTTGTCCTCTTATCTTCTTCAGCTGAATTCAGGTGGCTCTCTTTATAAGATTTGATTTTCATTACTGTGCATAACTATAATAACATCAAGGAGATAATGAAAAGATAATGTGTTTCTGTTTTGTTATAGTGCATTTTTAAATGTTAAAAGAATATTTTATTATTTAAATCTACTATAATATGTTCTCAAAAGAACCAGTTTGTGTTACACTTATTTCTCTGGAATTATGGTTTAGAAGTTTTTGACTTTCACATAAACTTTTCAGTGCTAATTAATTTAACTTAGACATCCAACAACTAGTAAGTTTTTACAATGTGAGCTGTCTATTTTTGACAGCGTAAGAAAGTAATAATATAATCAAATGTATTTAAATGTGTTAGCATGAAAATGGATTTTGTATATGCTAAAATCCAATGGACATGTGATGATACTGATTAATAAGTACATACCATTTCAGTTTATCTTCTAGAATGCAAGAGGGGAAACGGGGTGGATTACAGAGGAACAGAAGCCAAAACTCAGAAGGGCATGACATGCCAAAAGTGGGCTGATAATGTCCCCCATAAACCAAAGTAAGAACTTTTTGTGTACATTTATACGGTTTTCTGAAATTTTACTAAGCCATTCATATGTGCTAAGTAGTCTCATTTCTTTGGTGTTCAAAGTCTTCTTATAAAATATTTTTCTACACTTATCTAGAATAATTCTCTAACTTGAGTTGTAACTCAGAGACTTGCAATTAGGCCTACATGATCAATAGAACATTGTCAGTCTTGGCAGTTGCATTTAAACGTTGCTGTCCTTACATGAGCAGAACACCCAACAGGTGAGCACCTGGTTCTGCTGAAATAAGAATTTTCCATTAATCTCACCCCAGCAAGAACTTTTCTTGGCTAAAAGTATAATGTGGCAGATGAGATAGAGGTAGATCATTTTATCAGTGATCCCATAGACAATTAACAGAGCAGTATTTCTTGTATGTAATGAAAAACACCCAAGTGGGTTTATTTAGTAACCTCTTATTGAGATGGCATAGCATTCAGGTTACAGAACTCTTCCATTTCAGCAAACATCTCATTGCGTCTCTCAGGGAACATGTCCCAGAGAAGACTTTTCTCTACATGCTGAAAAGTACCTTGGCTGCACAAAAATTACTGGAAACTGAACAGCTGGAGTAAATACAAGTATTAAAGACATGTCTGGCCTTAGAGGCACCATATTTCCTGAATTCTATAGCTAGGGCACTTCTAACTCTTCAGCAATGGCACACAGTAGCAGTTAGGAGACTTCTAATGAACAAAATAGTCTTCAGACAAAGATTTCATTTTTTGAGTCCTCAGCTGGACAATTGGGACATTTCCCTTATTCTCTATCTCCATTTAAATTCTGTTCCAGCTACACACCTGAAAAACACCCCAGTGCAGGACTGGAGCAGAACTACTGCAGAAATCCTGATAATGATGAAAACGGACCCTGGTGTTACACAACAGATCCTGCTACCAGATATGATTACTGCCAAATCCCGGAGTGTGAAGGTCAGGATACGTATACCAATTCCTTTCCCTTTTTGGAAGATGTACTTAAGAATGTGAAATTATTCAGATGCTTTTATTTTTAATCTAGTATTTGTTCCAAACTTGAGTTTAGTTCAACCTGAAACTTTCCAAAGACATTTTCAACACCAACAAGGAAGATATCAAAAGACCCCTAAAACATCTATACAATGCCTTTTTTTTTCCTTAGATAAGAAAATGTTATATGAGTGTATTCACATATCATAACTCTAGTATTGAACCAAATGTCAGTTGCTAGTGCAAAAGTCAATAAAATGTGACAGCAGCAAAGCATAGATTTTCAATTATAGCTTACTAGTTTTAATTTATGTCTTTTAAAAACTATTTTCTATAATGTCAGGGGCTTTGTTTGAATAGAATACTATCAATGTAATCAATGAGTTGAAGCCATTTTACTAATAAAAATAAGCATTTACTTTGACAAAAAAAAAGACTGTCCTTCAACCCTGTGCTCTGATCAGGTGTTTGAGCTTCATGTGAGATGAGTGTTTATGGATCAGTTCCTTAGGGGTTTCTGTCACTCTTGCCCTCATTCTGCCTTGCTCCTACAGTGGAGTGCATGCACTGCAGTGGAGAAAACTACCACGGAGTAGTTGCGACAACAGTGTCGGGGCTTGAGTGCCAGCGCTGGGACTCCCAGCAACCTCACTCTCATGGATACCTCCCAGAAAAGTGAGTCAAGCCCTGTGATGGGTTGTTTATCATCAAGGGTGATCTTCAGGCCTCCCCCAGACAGAATAATTGTTACAGCCATTAATGACATTTGTTAAAAATTATTTTTCCTGTTCAGTTTTCCAGAGAAGGATCTGAAGATGAACTATTGTCGTAATCCTGATGGTGAACCTCGGCCCTGGTGTTTCACTACCAACCCGAATAAACGCTGGGAATATTGCAATGTTCCCCGTTGCAGTGAGTCTGACTTCTAGACTTCTAGACACAAAGTCATCTAGGACAAAAGACACCTAGACAGCTTCTATTCAGCATGGTGCAAGGAGCTAGAACAAATAGAAGAGACCCCAAAGATAAAGGAAAGAATAAGACTGCTGCATTTAATCTCAAAAGAAAAAAAAAAAAAAAAGAAACAAGCTTTGAAATGTACCTCTGATACCTCTTCTGGGTTTAGACATTTCTGTCATAGGCATTTCTAATGGTTTTGCCTGGAGCACATCTCCTGTCCTTGCTGTGTTTTAATATGACGAGGCATTTCAGTGGTTCTGATGTTTCTTCTGATCCTCCTCCTTTGATGTCAAACAGTTTCACTCTTCCTGAAAATCTTTGGGCTTCTGTTTTGCTTTCAGTTCTCCAGCTTCTCCAACTTTTCAGTTTTCTTTTCCCCTGAAGTCCTGTCCTTGCTGCAATACTTTTCCTTGGGTCTTCTTAGCAGACCTCATCCTTGCTGTCTAACTCTCACCAGTTAGAGTACATCTCTTTTATATCTGCACCTATACCTGTACCTATCCCTGGTGGGCCTGCCACTTCACAGTGTGACCACTTGCTCACTTTCCAGCTTTGTTCAGACGAGGCTGCTAGCACTTGGTTGTGTTGTATCCTGGCTGCTTGAAGGGGCAGATGCAAATGCCCTTCTGTCAATCTGACTGCTTGTGAAGAAAGTTAAGACATTTTTAGACCTTTTCTCTACCTTTTGGACATTTCCAAACATTTTGGTCTTTAAACCTTACCTCCAAAGAAAGCTAAAAGCCTACTTAATCATAAAGATCAAAGTATTTTTGGTTTTTACTATGTCTAGAAGGCACTGATAACTTTTCTTTCCTTTTTCTGCAATAGCAACACCCCCACCAGCTCCTGCACCAGGGCGTCAGTGTCTATTGGGAAGAGGAGAAGACTATCGCGGAATGATATCTGTTACTGAATCAGGAAATACCTGTCAGCACTGGAGTTCTCAGTCTCCTCACAAACACGCTCGCACTCCTGAAAACTACCCCTGCAAGTAAGTGAAACCTCTCCGTTATTCAGTGTCCCCAGGAAGTATCCAGGCACAGAAATACTTCATGTTCCTTCAACTATGTTGCAAAATTCTTCTGTTACACCAGCATTCATCACCTGCTGGTTTCCATCTTTTCAAATTTTTTGCACGTTTCTTTTAGTCACTTCTTTGTTCTGGGATACTAGTGTCTGCTCTTTGACTTTCAAGCTCTGTTTGACTGACTTTTTACTTTTTATTTTTTACTTTTTTACTTTTTACTTTTACTTTTTACTTTTTACTTTTTACTTTTTACTTTTTACTTTACTTTTTACTTTTTACAGTTCATCCTTTTACTGTATTTTTGCTCAGGTGAAACAATGTGGAGTAAGAAAGTTACAAGTAAGATATTTGCTTGGGGTTAGATCCTTTCACCCTATGTTTTTGCTGTGCTGCTCTTGGCCTCAAAGTACTACATGAAATAAAATCTCTTAGTCCATCTATCAATCTATCAGGTGTCTGGTTTAGCAAATCCAAAACACCTGTGCATTGCAATTATTAATCTAGTAAATGTCATCAGTAAATGACAGCAGAGTTATCCACCATAAACTAGGCAGCAAGGTACATTCCCCTGTTGTTCATAGAATCATAGAATGGTTTGGGTTGGAAGGGACCTTAAAGATCGTCTAGTTCCAACCCCCCTGCCTTGGGCAGGGACACCCTCCACTAGACCAGGTTGCTCCAAGCCCCATCCAGCCTGGCCTTGAACACTTCCAGGGATGGGGCATCCACAGCGTCTCTGGGCAACTTGTTCCAGTGCCTCACCACCCTCTCCGTGAGGAACTTCTTCCTGATATCTAACCTAAACGTCCCCACTTTCAATTTAAACCCATCACCCCTTGTCCTGTCACTACAGGCCCTCCTAAAAACTTCATAACCTTTGTTCATAACCTTTACTAGGTTTCCATGAGAGGCTTTTCTTAGCCAAGTTTCCCATTTCAGGAACCTAGAGAAAAACTACTGTAGAAATCCTGATGGTGAGAAGATGCCATGGTGTTACACCACCAACAGAACAGCACGGTGGGAATACTGCACCATTCCCTCCTGTGATGGGACAAAGCCAGAGGCCCCTGGTAAGAACCACAGGAGACATCTGGAAGTGAAGGATCATCATGGTTCTTATTGAAAAATCTTGGGTAACTCTGCTCAGTTGTGTTACTGCTGTTAGTCTCAGTGTTGCTACATGTCAGTTGAAGTTCTGAGCCTGGTGTGGAGCCCAGGTGATGGATAAGTGCCGAAGGTTTTAAGTCACCTACCAGCCAAGCTCAGGAAAAATTACACTAACAGAGAGCTTTTCCTTTTGCCAAGTGGTCATTCCTTTCACCTCTAAATTTTTAAATGCTCCATGGAAAATTTAATTAGCTTTATATGCCAGCTCCTGAAAAAAAAAAAAATGTTGATTTAAGAGCACTGGACCAAGACTCCATAAAAAGCAATCAAAGAAAATTCTCCTTACACAAGGCAGACTTGTTCCACACGCGCATCTGTGGCAAAGCCACAGACATTCTTCTACCCCTTGAGAAGTTCTGATCCGTATGTATTGTATTAACAATCCAAATAGTTCGAAGTTAATACTTTGGATTGTTAAGACATCCCTGGATGTCTTCAAGGCCAGGCTGGATGAGTCTTTGAGCAACCTGGTCTAGTGGAAGGTGTCCCTGCCCATGGCAGGGGGGTTGGAGCTGGATGGTCTTTAAGGTCCCTTCCAACCCAAACCGTTCTGTGATTCTATGATTAACTGAAATAAATCCCAGTGCATGACAGTAAAATTGATATACAAGTGCTTTTAATCTAGCGTATCATTAATTTTTTACAAATATTTTTTGAAATCTTCCTTTTGTCTGATAAGGGTTCTGTTTGACACAGCGTGCTGTGGTGGTCAGTGAAGTGCTCTGGCTTGCTGTTTCCTGTTGGCTTTCTATGCTCATGTATAAATGTCAAAGTATTAAGATGCAAGGGACTGGTTTCTGTTATTCACTACAGCTGTTGATGTGCCTGAGCAGGCTCAAATTACTGAGGAGTGCTATCAAGGCAATGGCGTGACTTACCGTGGCACAGCTTCTTTCACTCTTACGGGAAAGAAATGTCAAGCCTGGAGCTCAATGTCACCTCACCGACACAACAAAACGTCAGACAAGTTCCCGAATGCGTATGTGTATTTCCAATTACTGTGTTTCATTGGGCAATGACCATTCATGAGTTCATTTTGATTTGCATTATCTTTACACAATGATTTTAAAGCTGGGAAGGGAAAGTAGTTGACAAAAATAATCCCTTCTTTTTTTTTTTAATGTGGAAACATTGTCTATTAACCTCATCTTGAAACAAACCACAGTGGTCGCTATTATGCCTCAGACTAATTAACTCTGTGTTTATACATTGCTTCTAAAGGAATTAAGAGTTATCATAAATTTTCCCTTTTACTGAAATGAATCGTTTCATAGATGAGCTTATTCATGAGCGCAGGTCTTTGCTTCCTAGTCTGCAATTCATTAGAACTCTGAGGAAGGGATGGGTTATTTTCTTATTTCTAATATTCATTATTTCTTTATTCCAAAATGTAAAAAACTATTCCTTCTTAAAAGCTATTAACGTATTTGAACAAGTAAAAAGAATTGTATCTTTAATATACATGTGTGTTTACATAGCTGAATTTGTAAATTCTATTATTCTATTATAGGCGTTAATCAGTGAAAAAGTATTTGGCATAAATATTCTACATATGATTCTTGATTTCTCTATGCTGGAAAAAGGATTGCAGCTGCACAATGTACATGATAAATGATGTATGCTAAATCTGTAGCAGATTTTCTTTCTAAAATATTCTTTCAACTTCTCTTCAGAGCAGTGGCATGGATGGGAATATAATATGCTTACATTTGTAGGGACTTGAGGCAGAACTATTGCAGAAACCCAGATGTCGATAGCCGCCCATGGTGCTACACCACCGACCCCAGTGTGAGATGGGAGTACTGCAGCCTGAAGAAGTGTGATGACCATAGAGAAGAGACTGTACCAAAACCTCCTCAGACAACACTGAAACCAAATCCTGGTAAGAATACTTGCCACTTGCCCCAGAAATACTCATCACCAGAAAGCTCTCATTTATGGAAAGATGATAAAAAATTGAATGAGGATGAAATACAGGAAACTCTAGATTGTTAAATAATTTAATATAATACTGTATCCACTCTCTCAATTTTCTGAATTTTCTTGTAGAATTTTATAGCAGGGTCTCTGTATTCAATTTTAGATTAATATCGTATCTTTTATCTACTACATCTGGCAATACTGGAAACACAAGGAAACAAATGAGGAGTAGTCTCCACAGTAATGTGGGAGGGTTACTATCAATGACAGCAAAGGTAGAGGTGATGGAATTTTGCCGGCAAGTGCTCCAAAAAAGTCTTTTCCTGTGCCATGTATTCACATTCCCAGGAGTTCATTCCCACAACAGCTGCCTTTTTAAATCCAGTTCAGAGGCAACTTTGTTATGCGGAAGATGGTTAGAGTGTTGCAGCTTTGTTTTTTTTTTTGCTGTGACATTTTCTTCTGGTTAGAAGGCTAGTAATTTTAGCTGAACATGTATTACTGCATTTTACCTACTGTAAAATGTGGCAGCGGAGAAATGTCAGTGTCCATAAGGAAAGACTTCATGACTGCATGGTCTTTTTGGTCCTGGCTTCTGGGGTCATGAGGAGTCAACTGACACCAAGCTTCTTTATGACTTTCATGATCATGAAGAAAATGTTTAAAGTGCGAGGAAATTAAAATGCGATTGTTAGCCATCAATGACACTACGTTGTCCTTCTTTCCTTGTATACATATTACATAAGACATGTAAGTCCTAGTAGTATTTCTTCAAATTTATTTCTGCTTCACCACCACCAAATATGGACATAGCCCAGTAGCTCACAACTAACAATCATTTCCTTTCCTCTTTCTTCACAGACTGCATTAACGGTAATGGTAAAGACTATCGTGGCACAGTAGCAAAAACTGGAAGGGGCAGGATTTGTCAAGAGTGGAGTTCTCAGAAACCTCATTCCCATGACTATTTCACTCCCATGACTCATCCAAAAGCAGGCCTGGATAAAAATGTAAGCAGCTGTTCATTTAATACTTGTCATTGACCTTTGCCTGTCTTCTTCATGGTCCCTCAGCAAGCATTTCATGCCAGGTCTTTGTAAATTGATTTATTTTCCTCACTTCTATCCAAGAACCTGATCCTGCTAATTCTTATTGACATGAGCTGTCTGTATTTCTGTGGGGAACACAGATGCTCAGAAGCTCTGTTGAATGTTTCCACAGCACAGCCAAGGGGCTTCAGATGGGCATTTGCTTCTCCTCACTGCTGAGGACTGCCTGGAGTTGGTCTGTGGGGAGCACCTCTGCCTCCTCTGCCAGAAAGAGCACCTGGGGTCTTAGGTTTCAGTAGTAACAGTGACGGATGAGATGGCGAGGGGCCCAATGTTCATTGCAAGTTCCTTGAGATATAGTATAGTGCTGATGGATTGCAGCCCCATTGTCTACTAATTCCCTCTCCAGCCCTCCAGCTCCTGCTGCAGCACATAATGCAAGAATATACATGTATCTGACCCATCCTTGTAAGTCATTCGCCAACTCTAACCTTATCTCCCTAGTCCTAACACATGTACTCATCACTAGTTCTCTAGACTTGTAACATCCCACATACAATACTACCTGGTTTGTGACAAGCTCTGTGATATGAGAGCTTGTTTGATGTTGACAAATTATTTTTTCTCCAAGTACATGACTTTAGAGCTTGCTTTAGGCAATCCTCTGATGGCATCACATACCCTGTATTGATTTCCAGCTCAGACTGGGGAAACTCACTCTGAAAAACTACCTGCCCTAAGTTTTTGTTCCTGCATTTTCAGGGACTCTTGAGGAGAGGAAGAAAATATTTTCTCCTTTTTTCTAAGACATGGGACATATTTCAGAGTAGGGCAGGGAACTAGAAAATACGTGGTACCATGAAGTTTGTGAGGTGTCTGTGCTGAGCTGAGATCAGTGAGTATGACCAGTAAGACCTAGAGAGTGATTCAGCTAACCTGGCACCCCACATCTGGGTGGGCACTGCACCCCTGTCCCTGCAACTCATAGACATCACCAAGTTAAGCAAAGACACCTAATGTGCAACCAAAGTGGGTGTGAAAAGACCTCAGGGCTGATCCTACTGTTCCTACTAACCACAGTGGAAGCAGGACTACACAGTTCGGTGATTTAGAAAACTCTGTCCTAGGTCAATATCTCCTATTTTTTGAGAGCTCAGAAATCCAAGCTTGTATTACTGAAGCTTACTGGCTGAAGGCAGTTAAAGAGGTTTCATTTTCACTATCTACTTTTAAACTCACAGAACAAATAGAAAAATCAAACTAATTTTGACAGAATGAATTGGAAATCACTTATCAGTAAGGAAGTAAAAAAAGTATTTCCCAAATCTAATTTTGAAACATGCATTGGGAGGCTTTTTCATCCCCTGGTTAATAGCTGGTGCCTTTATCTTTTGTTACAGTACTGCAGGAATCCTGATGGAGATGTGAATGGACCTTGGTGCTACACAACAGACCCAAGAAAAGCCTGGGAGTACTGTGACATTCCCAAGTGCCGTAATTATTCCTCTAAAGACTAGTGTCTCACTTTCCTGTAATCTTTTATAACGACTGGAGGTCATTCAATGATTAATCTGAAAGACTGATCTAAGACACTGCAATAGCTTCATACTGGAAATTAAGGTTGTAGGGAAGCAATGCTCAAAATCTGTGCCTGAACTCTTAAGAATGATGTGTATTCCTTGGAAGCCCCCAACATGGGACAAGATGGACCTGGAGTCCCCTAAAGCTCATGAGGTTATTTGCCATGTGTTTCAAAATAGGGCTGTTCCTGCAGAAATTTCCCCTGGTCCTGCCTGGTCACCTGGCATAGCTATGTGTGTGTCCAGGCTGGACAAGGGATGCTCTTATCCCAGCAAAATTTTTAAACCCCTTGCTGATGTGTCTCTCTGGTCCTGTCCTGGATGTAAACCAGATTTTCCTTCCTCTGATATTGTATCAGATGTCTGCAAAGTGCATCTGGCCCTAAATATTTAATCAAATTGTCTTTTCTTTGTTAATAGTAACCAAACTATTCAGTACTGTGAAATAGGGGGTGCAACAAAGTGTCCAAGGATAAAGTTTTACATTTTGTTTTCAAGTCCTTTCATGACCACCAGCAACAAAAGGTATGCCAGGAAGAGAGATAGTTCCTACTCAAAAGAAGGGTGACTTTCTAGCTGCTCTGTCCTTTCAGCTGGGAGCAGCAGAAAATGTGCTCTGATCACAACCCCAATAATGAAGCAAACAAGAAAAAGAAAGGTGTTTTTTAACATGCATATACTGTAACTTGAAAAATACTACTGCATTGAAAGTGTTGGGCTGGGATTTTTAGGGGAAAAATTGCCATTTTCACATGATTATTTTACTAATTTTGAAGATCCAATTTCTTTTTTAAATTAACTTTTTTTTTTTAATTCAATTGTTCAGCTAAAGAACAGAGAAAACATTACTTTGTCTTTAATTTGATTAGTTATTTCCTTTTGCTGACAAGAAATTCTGTGTTGATAAGTCAGTTCCCCATGGCTAAATAAGAACTATACTTTTTCAATAACTCAGAGACATCTGAAATATCAAAAGATCCTGAGATAAGACTGGAAAAAATTATGTTTCACAGAGACAGTGATAGAATTTCACATGCTGTACCACACAGAAGCTGTGTGTAGCTTCTAGGAGGATCTGTTCCATGATCTTCCCAGGCACAGAGGTGAGGCTGACAGGTCGATACTTCCCAGGGTCCTCCTTTCTACCTTTTTTACATTTAAGGATGTTGGGCCAATTTATTTTTCCTTTCTCTCTGTTTCCTTCTCCTTCCCCTTCAGGTTTTCTTTCTGTCTGACTGTAGATCTATTCATGTGTAATTCACTGACCACTGAGAAGCGTACATGAAAAAAAATTGCCAGGCAATTTTGTAAGTGTTCCAATTGAAGGTAACCTAACCCAATATGGGTGGTGCATGGTATGTAATTGTCTGCAGAGAATCAAAAGTTGACAAATGTAACAGGTTCACCTTCTGGTTTTCTGAGTGCATAGTGAATACATAGCAAATGTGCTAAAGTCTGGGGGTTTTTATGTTTGTTTGTTTGGGTTTTTTTTTCTTATTCCGTAGCTCCTGCTCAATATGAGTGTGGAATGTCCAAGTTCAGACCAAAGCTGTGTGCTCAAAGGATTGTTGCTGGGTGTATTTCACATCCACACTCCTGGCCCTGGCAAATCAGCCTCCGGACAAGGTATGGGCATTTCCCATTACATTAGACTTTACATTCAAGGAACCTATGCCTCTCACAGAATGCTACGGTATGTGGCTGAAGCATTCTAAATTTTATTTTAATTTAAAAGTAGGGCTCTGTATTACGTGGGCTAGTCTTAAAAGGTCATTTAGACAACCAAGAATGCCCTGTTTTGTGATAAATTCCTATAGAATCAATACAACTACCCATTTCAAAACCGCTTTAACTAAAAGGCAGAATTAATTTAAATCTGTCACTATATCCTATGGTAGAATCAGTATTCTATGAGTGGAAGCAACAGTTTATTGTATAGCTAGTACAGATCTGTATCAGTCCACATAAGCCTTTGACCCTACTGGCAAAGTTGTTAGCAAAACTAGGAATCGAGGCCAGCTGCAGAGCTTTCTAACTGCGATCAGAGCTAGATAAAACCCAGAATCTCTAAACAGGTGTACACCACTGTGCTTAAGGTTTCCCAGTAGTAGAAATACTGGTTAGGAACAAATATCTAGGTGTTTTCATACGAGACCTTTATAAAAATGCCTACACAACACTACTGTCATTGTAATACTGAAATATTGTTTCAGGAAAGTGAAATGTTTAATTCTTAATGCAAATGAAGAATAAGGTCTTTAGTTCGTAAGGGCATACGTGTTAGAAAGATTACCTTATGAACTGCAGTACAATTAACTTCCCTGCCTTAAACCAATGCCCATTTCATGCCTTTCTGCTGTGTTACAGTTTTGGCCTGCATTTCTGTGGGGGAACACTGATAGACCCACAGTGGGTTCTGACTGCTGCTCACTGCTTAGAAAAGTAAGTATCTGTTATAGCCTCCACCGGAATTTTTTTTTTTTTTACACTAGATAGAAAATCAGAGGAGAAAAAAACCAGCCCCAATAGCCAACCTGGGTTGTCTTCTCAACTCAGCTTTTAAACAGATGAGAACTGGGACAAGTGTATTCATCATTCATTAAAGATTGACTGGAGAAACAAAGACTGACAGTGACTGAACTTTTGCCAGCCTGATTTCATGTGCCATAATAAGGGATAATAAATTAAGTTTACACCAAAGTTGACTTTATTTTTCTGGCTTTGACAGAGCAAAGTGTCCAGTCATATCATTAGTGGTCTACATTCTGGGTGCATGTTTGTCAGCTCACCAGTGCAATCGTTTCCAACAGGTCCTCACGGCCATCTGCCTATAAGGTATACCTTGGGTTACACAGAGAACGTGCATTAGAGGAATCAGTGCAAAAACGAGACGTTGAGAAATTGTTCAAGGAGCCACGCAGAGCGGACATTGCTCTGTTAAAACTAAGCAGGTACCCTTTCAGCTGAAGTGTTCCTTTGTTCTGATGATACTTTTTATTTCTGTATTTTAACCAAATAGTGGGTGCTGTTGTTGTAGAAATGTGCCTTTCTATGCATGCTCTGTTCAATCAGTGATATAAGACCCTCTCTTTCTTCCCTTTCTGCAGAAGCTCCAGTGGAAACCAAGGTGATTCAGCTGTAGGGCTTCAGAAAGGGAAAGTGCTGTTCTGGGAGGGGAGGAGGGCTAGGGACAATGACCCCGGCTGGCAGTGCACTGCTGGGAGGTGAGGCAGTGGCAGCAGAGTAGGAGGAGGTAATGCCTAGAGGAGCTTTCACTCTGTGTTTGTGCCTACATCCTTCTACCTTGATATGAGGATTGATAATGGATAATGAGGATTGAAAGCTGCAATATTAGCATGATGTCACCCCATATATTTTCCATGCTGTAGGGGGGAGAGTTCTTCTTCCAGCAGTTCTGTCCAGTGTGCAGGCAAACATGCATGCATGTTGGATGCGATATCCAGTATGATCCTTCTTGCACCTGTTTCAATTAATCTGAAACTCTCGCCAAGGCACTGTGCAATCAAAAGGAATGTGTCCATACAGCTGCAAGGAGATGTAAACATACAGTGCTTGTGCTTTAATTTCTGTGGCTGCAATGCAGGTCCAAAATAGACACGGGATCAGCACAATTAATGTGGCTTCTATATTGAGCCTAGTCTTAGCTGCACCGAAAGGTAAGTCAGACTGGCTTGGGCTCTGACTGTATATAAAATATTTTAGAAACCTGAAGGTGATATTAAGGATAAATATTAATGTTAATGGTTGTTCATGTATGAACCTTTTGCTTGTTTCTTTTAGTCCAGCAGTCATCAACAATCATGTCATCCCAGTTTGTTTGCCAAAAGAAAATACTGTGTTAGGAGGAAGAGAGGAGTGTTATGTGACAGGCTGGGGGGATACAAAAGGTGAGATGGCATAAAAAATCTGAAAGCTCCGTGTCTGGAGATTGGTATATACTTGTATCAAAAGTGTATTTTCTCTGTGCCAAAAACACCCCACACAAGTTTACCTATTTCATCAAAATTGATCAGGTACTGCCATTCTTTCCACTATCTCCCTCTGATTTCGATTCTCCCAAATCACTCAGAGACATGTAAGCTGAAACACCCTAAACCAAAACTATAAGAGGAGAATCAGACCTAAGGAGCTCCTGACTCTTGTATCTCAGTCCACTCTGCTTTTCTCCAGAGTGGGCTTTTACACAGTCAGTAGGAAGGGTTTTTAGATTTAAGCTATTCTTAATCACATGAAGGTGAGTTTGCTCATTGTTTCGAATTATTTGACTCCCAATGAGCTTGGTTCAGATCTCACTTACATATAAGTATACTCTCATTTTTAAAACTTCCCACTCTGTCTTGATTGAGAAGAGCATCGGCACCTTCTCTGCCTTCTTGCTTCTGCCCATCGTGACATTTACAACTGTTTACTTCCTACCTCCTTTCTTCTAAAGAGAAGAAAACTCAGATGCAGAGCAATAAAAAAGACTTGGAAATTACTTCTACAAATATCAGTGGGTAATGGATCCATATGGCTGTGCTGTGCTGTGGGAGCAGAAAAGTCCATCAGCACAGCGTGGATGTTGATGGGTGGTAGAGGTTGATAAGTACCATGGCACTGATAATGTTTGCTAATTTTGGTATCACTTCATATTATGCCTGGAAAGTATATGCATAGTGCATAAACACTATGCTTATTTTACTGTTTATCCATACCTAAATGATTGTTTTGTGAAGATGTTCATTTACCTTTGTCATTTATTGGGGTTTGGTTTTATTTTCATTTGCAAAGGAACCGGTGGTGATGGCTACTTAAAGGAAACTGGTTTCCCTGTAATTGAGAATAAAATATGCAACCGCCCGGAGTTTTTGAACGGTAGAGTCAAAAACCATGAGCTCTGTGCTGGGAATATTCATGGTGGTACAGACAGCTGTCAGGTAAGAAGTTCTAGGCACATCAGAGTTGGTTTTAAGCACGTAGAAATCCAATAGTGCTTCGCCTCCTGGGCTTTAGAGGCTCAGAATTAGCCATGGGACGTTGCCACACCGTGTAGCATACAAACTGAAAAATGCACACGTATTCTGCTCTTCCCTTGCTCCCTTGTCTGGTGCTGGAAATGGGGCAGGTAAGTTTTCAGACAAGCCTGAACTACAGAGCACATGGTAGTACACAGCTGCCAGAGCCAGGTGTGTGGGAGCCAGATCAGAATGACTAACAGTCTGACGGGTTTTTTCCCAGACCACTTTGCTTGCCTTGGCTAGCTCCAATGTCCAAGCTAGCTTAGTTAACCTGAGACATCTCAGCTAGCAGTCAAGCAACAACGCAGTGGAGTCTGCCATGCAGGCATACCAAGGGCCAAAGGAACTACTGATTTCCAAGTGTCAGTACCTGTGAAAATCACACTGGGTGAGGCATAATGCATTCTGGACTTCTCTTTTGCTGAAAAGGAAGAATATGGTTGGCAATAGCTCCTCTCACAAGTGTGACATGAAGGTTTTCTCCACAAGTCAAGGTTTTGAAACTGAGCTCTTCAGTTTCTTTAAATACACAGAAGGGCTTAGAAAAGCTTAACAAATTGAATCAAGATGGAAACTTTCCTCCCTGAAAAACTGAAGAGAACTGTGAAGAAGTGTGAAAACAGCAGACTACCTGCCCCTGCCGACGGGTCAGCACCATTGCCAACACAGCACAGGTACCCTATGCGCAAGCACTGTGACGGGAAAGCAAGCCGTTGAGGGGTGTGCTCTCATGTCTTAAGGCACATGGCTTGAATTCATGCATTCACCTGGTCTTGGATCATCTAGTAAAAATAGGAAGCCGTGAACACCTGAGAGGAAGTCAAAGGCAGGAACCACAGTTTAAGCTACTAAGGGTAATTGGATCCCTTCTCACCAAATCCCCTTACTTCAAAAGTAAATGTAATGCCTGGGTGACAGGAAGAGATGACTTTACACAAGTGTTTCACAACATGCATAGAACTCCAGTGTTTTTTTGTAACTTGCGTGGCCCTCATGCAAGAGGTATTTCTGTTTCTGTGCCTCCTCTGAGAAGGCCACTCTTGCACACGGGGCTCTCTGTGATGGAATCTTCCTGTTCTTTCTCTGTTTAGGGGGACAGTGGAGGACCTCTAGTCTGTATGGACCAAGATAAATTTGTCCAACATGGAGTCACCTCTTGGGGCCTTGGCTGTGCCCAACCCATGAAACCTGGTGTTTACGTTCGAGTTTCCAACTATATTGCTTGGATTAAGAGCATAATGGAAAACAACTGACCCTGGGTATGGACTCCCCTCTTCTGGAAAGCAGTATGTACATTAGAAATACAAGAGTCCAAGTGCAATATTAAAGCTACAATCATTCATAAGAAAGAAAAATAAATATGATCATCCAGTTTAAATTGTTATAAATTAACAGTCATTGCCAAGAAACCAAACTGATGGCTCTATGTGTTTGCTATGTTTGACAATAGACTTATTATCCCCCGCTGAAAATCCCAGCCTCAACTGTAACTGGATATCTGCATTTCAATTTTATATTAGGCTCTACCATGCCTTTTTCTTCTAAGTTCTTCTTTCCCAAGAGGTTGTGCTTCCAGAAAATGAAGAAAGGATACTTCTCATTTTCTATGCATTGTCTGAGCGTCTTACCAATTTAATAATACAAACCAAAGAAGAATCTCACGGTACATGTCATCATGTCATATGCATGTGAAGTGTTATTAGATATACTTGATAACATTAAACACAAGGGATTAAAAAAAAAAAAAAACACACACATTCGGTTTGTATTTTCATATTTTTTATTGACATGGAAATCCATGTGTCAGCAAAAGTATAAATGTTGCATCAAAGATACAAAACAGTGAATAAAAAAATAGCCTCACCCTAAAGTTAGTCCATAGTGAAGACAGAGAAATAACTGTTGATCGTTACACCAAGTAATGACAATGTGTTTAACATATTATAATATTTTGTTGCCCATGGTACCCATTTGTTTCACTATATAACTTTATCTCACTATATAACCATTACACATGTACATTTGTCTCTAAAAGAAAATGATGCACACATGCCTGTGGTTATAAGAAGTGAAAGCTTAGACCTTTAGAAATGCTTTCCAGGGCTCACACTTGCCCAAAGTTAAACACTTGCTAACAGCGAACCTCTGCTCCCATCCTGCATCTCTTGCATATCAGCCAGGGAGCACCCCACAGGCGCCTGGGGACCCCCAGCCCTGCCTGGCATCCTTCATGTGTCCCCAGGTGTGCTGAGTGCACTCCAAGTAACACCTGCTGCCTGGGCTGGGATTTGTCTAGTCCACGTTCTGCAGTACAGAGGTCCACTCCCAGGCATGCCATGATGCATGCTATTTAATTGAGGTTGTCTTTTTATTCTTTGTATGTATGTGTGGCCAGCAGGTCGAGGGAGGTGATTCTCCCGTCTACTCTGCTCTTGAGAGACCCCACCTGCAGTACCACGTCCAGCTGTGGAGCCCTCAATATCAGAAGGATATAGACTGGTTGGAGGGAGTCCAGAGGAGGCCACGAAGATCCTCAGAGGGCTGGAGCACCTCTGCTATGAAGAAAGGCTGAGAGAGTTGGGCTTGTTCAGCCTAGAGAAGAGAAGGCTCCAGAGAAATCTTATTGCAGCCTTCCACTACCTGAAGGGGCCTACAAGGAAGCTGGGGGGGGACTTTTTACAAGGGCCTGTAGTGACAGGACAAGGGGTAACGGGTTTAAATTGAAAGTGGGGAGGTTTAGGTGAGATAGCAGGAAGAAGTTCTTCCTGGAGAGGGTGGTGAAGCACTGGAACAGGTTGCCCAGAGAAGCTGTGGATGCCCCATCCAACAGGATGGTCCCTTCCAACCCTAACCATTCTATGATTCTAGGTATATACAAAAGGTATTGGTTACATCCAAGGAATTCTTCTTTTTTCTCCCATGGACTTAAAAGGAGATGACAGCTATAAAACAGAGTTAGGTGGCGGAGTGATTTTTTAAGGTTGATTCTGGGAGAGACAATGATCTCAGGGCATTGCCTTCCTGAGCAGGAACAGCTCTTAAGATGGTGAGACTGCAGCAGTAGTCATTCAGCTGCACTGACTGTCATGTTAGCACAACTCATTTGTGGTATGAACCTTCAAAACTCAGTCCTGTATTTGCTTATGCCAAATACGTTCTCTTCTGAGCTTATAAGGCCATTGTAAGAGTTCATTTGCTTTCTTTTGTTTATTTAATTCTCTGTTGCTAACAAGATACATTTTGAACATCACATCTTCCCAAGTCCTTCACTGTAAGCAGTGTGTGGTTTACCTGTTGGTGGCCCTGACCCGGTGCTTGATGAAGAAGGTCATACAACTGAAAGGGAAGGCAGACTGTCCCCGATATCTGCTTGCAGAGCCTCAGATTCAAGCTATTCTGCAACATGTCAGCTTGAAACACCCAGAACCAGTTAACATTTCCCTCCATCAGCAAAGCTCTTGTCTTATCTCTGCTCATCTTCCCAAGACATCTTAACATCCCTGTCAACAACCCAAATAATTCATCTCCAAGGCAGCAAGAAGACAAATAATAATAAAGGAGGGAGCAGAGGCAGGAAGGAAGACAGAAATTGGGGGTCATCTTGGCAGTGATCAAGGAGAGGGAATTTTGTTTGTGGGGATGGGCAGAGACCATGTTTTAGAAGGGAAAAGATAAGCTCTTGAAAGAGAGAGTTGGGAAAGCACCTGACAGGGGAGAGCAGACAGAAACCTTTCCCTCAGGAGACACAGGGGTCCCTGGTCAAGTGAGAGGGCAATGGGGTGGTGTATGAACCCCAGCTGGATTGGGGGGGAGGGACCGATGGGCAACAGGATGATCTAACCTGCAGAGCTAGTGCCTTGTGTAGGATGTAACACCTACATAAAACCCTGGGAAGGAGAGGAGGAGGACTGCTGCCACATCCAGAAATCCCTTGAACAAGGAGGAAAGCAGCACTTTTGTGGCAAAGGCTCGCTGCAGGAGACTAGCAGACCAGGGAGAGGATCTCCTGATTTGTGCCTCTGATTCCCATCCCTCCTGACCAGAGAAAGGACTACCCTGAGCAGCATCCTTGTTCCTGAGCCATCAGATCTCCTGTTTGTCCAATTCTCCAGGGTCAAAGATGAATGGGTTGAAATACTAACCCTCTCTTCCCCAAAGTCATCGTTAACAATAGAAATAAACAAATGGCTCAAATACCTAAAGAAATAAATAAGAGCTCACTGAGCTGGATAGTGCATCTTTTTCAAGCTGTTCCGTTCTCTGCCAAGAACCACAGAGTGCTCCCTTCATACGAAGAGCATACTCAGAGAAAATGCATTTATTTTATATTTATAGAAAAATACACTGTTTTAAATGTCCTCATACTTAAAAGTAGAACATGGAGTTTAATCCATACTCTGCAGAAAATTTTGAAGTAGTGGCAGGTGGAGAACAAATTCCCAGTATGGGAACATGGTTCTTTGCTCAGTGCCGTTCTTCAAAAGTCAAATATAAGAGTTGGTGTCCCGGTGTTTCCGTTTCTTGCCGCATTTGACAAAATGACTGAAGAAACAGAAGTGGAGAAGGGTATAAGGGTGAAAGAAACAGGAAAAGATTAAATCCAAGTTGTAGTCCAAGCTGCAGCACTGAAACATTCACTTTCTGCATAGAAAATTTCCTTTTTTTAGTTTGTCCATTGAAGTGAGCAAACGTTGTTGATGCAATATCCAAAGCCACTGTTTGAAATACTAATTTATAGCAGCAACTACTCAAGAAATTTACTGCCATGCAAGCCAAGGTGTAAATGTTCCCTGCACACCTCTGGTGCAGTGAAGAGTCTGGCATGCCATGTGCTCACAGTGGGAAAGCTGTGCCTGTAATTCTTCAGCTATAAATTCATCCTATACGTGACTTCTCAATGTCTTCACAAATTGTGGAAATGTTCCCATGATCAAGGACCCTTCCTCACAGGATGTTATGATTGAGGTAATAGCTGGTTTTCTTGAGCAGAGAGCTGCAGGCTATACTTTGCAGTATCTCCATTGCACATTATTACTTTCTGCTTCTAGAGATGCATAAAACAACCCTGAGTTTCTATGAAAAAAATACAGATTCTATCCTGATGGCTTTTCTTAATAACCTGCCTTAGTGGTATTGAAAAGTTCACATTTCTAATGACGAAAATACCACCTGCTCATAACAACATACTCACTAAGGAATTTACTTCGACACTTGGAAAACATCAATAATTTATGGCAGCTGACAAGGCTGCACACCATCAGGAAACCCCATCTGAGTAAACGTATGAAAATACATGTCATACCTTGAAAGCTGCTCAACATCCTCCACTGTCTCTGGTAAGGAGATTCCTTTTGTCTCTGGTAAAAGCAATACTAGGAGCCCACAGATAACTGCGAGAATACCTACAATGGAGATAGATTGAAGAAATAAAAAAGTAGTAAGGAAATAGTTACTTTTCTTAATTTGGGGATTTACCCACAGAGGAAAATCTATTCAGATTAAAATTACAGTAAGATTTTTAAAGTGCAACAGTTATTTCTGGTACCCTGCTCTTATCAAACACCTTCATGCTACATTAACTTAATGTATTACAAAAAAACCTTGAGGGCTAGGGGTTAATTTGCAGCCTTAATTGCCCCAAAAGCGAGAACTTTGAAGTAAAAAGCCTGAGATAAGTGTACATGGGCATACAAACTGCACTGGAACTGGGATGGTATTTCTCACATAAGACAAATCTGCCTTTGTTCAAGGGGCTCTATCCCATAGATGCATTTTTGTTTCTTGAGACACTGAGATTTTCCTGAAATATTTTCTTCGTGTATCCATGGCCAAAGTAGATTATGTGATTCAGAATAAAAATTCACCCTTGGGAAAGAGCATTCAGATAGAGAGCCAATGTCAAATAGCTCATCAAGAATGGTTATTTTGGAATATATTCCTGCATAGATAAAATGTAAGAATGTAATAAGTCAAAAATAGAAGGGCTAGAGCAAAAAGCAGAATCCCTGACTGTTGCAGAGTCCTTTCTGTTCCCCTCGGATTCTGAAGCTGTTTACTCAATTCAGCAGCAGAAATATTTCAGAATTAGTACTTCTATATACACCTCTTCTTGGAATAAGGGTAATTTTTAAAAATGTCTCTTGCTTTTACATTTTTGTTTTCAAGCTAGATTTTTAATTATCATCAGTTTCTCTTCTTATTCTATACTATCCCTTTTGCTTTTTCCCACTCACATGTATCTCTTGGAAGTCTG